TCTGTACTGATTTTGGATACCAAAACAATAGTTTTGAAGTTTTCCAGGATCTGTTTATTTGTTATTTATCAGATAAAGATGAGAGTTAATATAAACCAGCAAGCAATAAGATTTCTTCGTGTATTATAGAGGGAAATGGACAGAACAATTGAAAAGAAAGTTACAACCATCTTCAAGCCATGTAAGAGACACATTCAAACTCATATTGCCAAACGCTATAAATGTCAAAATGATAGGGATAGGTTCTATGCTTTAAAAAAAAAAAAAAAAGTTTGCATAGACAGCCCAGGTTCTAACAAAAAACAGACAAAGCATAATCGATATCAATATCTTGTGCATACCTTCTCTTTTACCAGAAGAGGGGGGGTGGATAATGGGAATCCAATGGACCCAAATGGCATGATTATCCTGTGGTAAATTGGGAACTGTAGTTGCAAGAGAACTGCAAAGTACTTCTGAATTTGACCTCTTACTTCGGTAGACCTGTAAAGCCCTGAGTGAGTTCTCGGGTAGACACTCCGATGCCTAAGTCAGCAATAATCAGAGTTACCAGGTATGAAACAAGAGCTGAGCTTGAGTTCAGTTTCTATTACCTTTTGAGGAGGACCCTTGGGGGTATTTATAACCTTCAAATGGGACATCCACATGTTGTTCTTTAGGAGAAATCAGGATTATATGTGTCGATGATCCCAGAAGGCTTCCTTACAGTATCCCTGCATGTACGGAGTTACTGTAGAGTAAGAGCAAAGGGGATGAACTCGAGCTCGGCTGAGCTCGTTGTTCCCTGCCGTCAAGGTGACTACGTTGGGAGTAGATTGGGACACCCGAGTTACTTGACCTCGGGCTGGAATGAGGGACGAGACCTCGGACTACTACCACTACAGGAACATCTTTTAACAGGGTCTACAATTAAGAGAAGAAGAAAATTAAGAGAAATGAGATACCTTTCTGAAGTGGTTGATAATATGAGATGCTTATGCCATGCTGGAAACTCCAATCAAAATTATCTAGAAAAAGAACAAAAAGGAAGAAAAAGAAGGGAAATGGAGTTGCCTGTGAAATGGAGTTGCCTGTGAAATGGAGAAGAGAGTAGAATAGATAAGTTTGGTCAAATTGGTTGTAAAAGCATGAATGTTAGGGTTCAGTCGCAGATCTCACTTGACTATTATTATGCGGAAGTGCGGAACCATTGGATGCTGGTAATGGAAGCCTAACTGTTGTTTGAGATGAGGTCGAAGAAAACTGATTTGAGTATGAATTCCTGATAACCATTGGGTATACTTGACTTTATTGATGTAGCTGCCCATTTGGCATCAGGAAATCGAATTTGGCAATGCCGTCAAAATAAAAATGAACGAAATCCATGTAAAATTATTAATCAAAATTCCAAAATCAAAACTCGGATGTTTAGATCTATCAGCAAGCTAAATAGACTACAGGTTCAGGGGTAGACTACAGGGGGTAATCAGCTCGTGATAATCGAGAATTCAAGGGTCCGTTCCAGCTACCTTGTATGATGACTATATTTGCTGATAATAAATAAATCCTCAGAAAAAGGAAACATACCAAGAAAAAGGGACAACAACACTCCACTCCCTAAAAATTGCAGGGAATTCCAGCCACAAGAGTAGATGACTAGAAGAAGAGCTACCTGCAGCGAAGAAGGACGCTCCTGTCTGCTGCAGGTCGCTCTTCTTCTAACCGTGACTCTGACTCGAGGAAGTCTGCTGTATCCCGGGATACAGTAGAAAAAATCGACTCTGACGGATGCCCATCAAATATAACATTTTCTTTAGATTAAAATATTACGAAAACTATTACAAAACAAATATTTTAATTCTTACATAATATATACATATTCGTAAAAAAATACATAATTTCATATTAATAACAAAACACATAATAACATTAGAAAAAAAAAAAACACACACCAACAAGTTATAACACAAACATAACTTCATACTTGTAACAAAGTTCGTACATATATATAATAAAATGCCTACAAGTCATACTCGCATACGGACACAATTTTATATCTAACAAAGTTCATACTCTAAACAATACACTCTTAAAACACAGGCTCATACATAAAACAAATTTCACACCCTAATCAAAATATATTTAGATTCAAATCCGCGTAATCCTTCTTCATTTGATTCTTCCCTGCATGAAGAAAAATATATATATATAAACATTCCACAGATTCATGACATTATATTGTAAAAACAGTATATATATGAGTTAACAATTATTTATAAATAATTTTTATCTATAATTTTCTACTATAAGTAGTTAAGATTTATTTTGAATTTTTAAATAAAAAATAATTATATATATAAATATAAGTTACGTTTAGTACTTGTTCTCCATAATCATATTGGTTTATATTAAAGTATCTCCTTTTTTAGGCATAGGTAAAATATTTACATTAACTTATCAAAGTATATTTATACTCAATATTCAGCACTGTTGTTTTGAAGAAAAAATTAGTGAAATTTGGCCAAATTTGATCAACCGAACCGATTCAATCCGGTCAATTTGAAAACTTTTTTCAAAAAAATTAATTTTTACTTTTTTACATAATTTGTCTTTTTAAATTATATGTATTAATTTAAATTTTACTTTTAATTTAAACTACTACTAAAGTGATTACAAATTTTTTTTAGGTGTTGATGTCGTAAAAATAAAATAGTATTACAATATAGCATTAAAATATACCAAAAATGTTGAAAAAAAAATTAACTTTTTAATTGATCCAAGTGATTGGTTTATTTTATTTTATTTTTTTTTTACAAAAATCGGTTGAATTAATTGAATGAATTAATTAAACCGAATCCGGTGCCGATGCAAATTAATCAAGGAAAAACATGAAACATACCGGTCTCACGCTAGCTCCATGCTCTCTCCTCATATCGAACGGAGGTCGTCCATCCATCAAAGACCACAATGAGCAAGACGTTGTCCTCCTGAAGTCGCCATGCTCATAAGGACTTGAGCAGCAATAATAACTTCTGCATCCATATCTGCATCAACTTGGTCGGCCTTCACCCCCGCTGCGGCTTTTTCAACCTGAATTGAATAACTCCTCGTCTCTCTATCTAAGAGAAAA